GGTCTGCTGCTGTATAGGCTTTATTGCAGTTTCGGTAGTAGATTCTTGGACTGGATTGGTCTTGTGTCGATCGTTCACTGCTGGTTCGGGCTAGCTCGTTCACTAGGGGAGGGCTGTTAGATTTATTTTAGTTTATTTGTAGTTTGTTTCTTGTGCTTTATTTATGTGTTCGTATCTGTGTTGCGAGTGTATTGTGTTTTTACTTTGGGTCATTGACCCCTGTGAGCCCGAGTGTCAAATTTATTATCATGTTGGGATCCGACACTCGGGTTTTACCTTATTGGGGTCTTTGTAGTTTGTTTTAGTTGTTTGTGTGGTTAGTTAGTTTAGTTTCGAGTATTTTTTTATTTTAGCGTTGCTAGCCGGGATTTTAGGCAGTCTTCTGACCTGTCCTCCCACTTTTTCAATTGTTGGCTGTTGTGTATTGAGCCGTTGGCTGCTGTGTATACGCACACTTGTGCGTTTTGATTTATAATATTATCTGTCGTTTTGAGAAAAAAAAGAGGCCAATCTTAGTAGGATTATTGTGAGTTGTTTTCAGCCTTATGATCAGATTTTTCCCAGCCTAGCAGGGGCAGACGGAGGCAGAGGCCCGTAAGGGCACGGGCTCATGTGCAATTTTTTAAAAAAATTAGTACATATATAATTATATTGTAAAATAATTCAAAAGATTTTTTTTTTCAAAATTTAAGTTGTTTGCATTTTCTATTTGTATTATATTGTAGGCAATATATATAAATAAGTTACATCGATTTTCTACAAAAGCCAACAGTGATTTTGATACATATTGAATTTCTTAAAATCATATTTATAAGTTTAAATTAGCTATTTAATTGTGTTTGTCATTGATTTTTTAACTAAAAAATATTTATTTTTATAAGGAAGTCCATGAATGCTAACGCTGTAAAAATATACAATGCAAAAAAAAAAGAAAAAAATAAATCTATATCTATACTTATATAAAAAGCTATCCTATTTACTAAAATTAGTAGCAAAAAATAGACCAGCATTTAATGCAACCCATAAATAGTAATTTTATAATTTGTCTTATTTTTATTTAAAAATCATACAATTTAATTTATAAATAAGCTTTAATATAATCATACAATTTATAAAATTATACAATTTATTTTTTTCTTTAAAAATATGCTATATATATATATGGTACTTTTTGTAATAAATTTGAATAAAATGTGTTACTTAAATATCTAAACAATTTAAAAATTCAAATGTTTAAATTAATTGATAAACAATTTATAAATCTCTATTTTATTTAATTTTATTTAAAATAATTTAAATATAACAAAATTTATTTAGAAAATCGTATCGATCCTACCAGTTCAACCTACTGGTGTTGACGGATTCAATAACAAATATTTTATTCAAGTGAACTAGACTAATTATAAACTGGTTCTCGGTCCATCCAATCAGACTGTATCCAACACGGTCTAATTTTAAAACGATGGGTAAATCTTGATTCATTTATTTGTATATTTAATTTATAACACAATCGTAATATTGTTTTCCCGTACATCACACGGGCCATGCACTAGTATACATAAAGAGAGAACCTATTTACAAAAAATAGTAACAAAAAAAATCTCCTAAATTAATTGCATGCGATTTTTAGAAATCATTTGAATTTTATTTACCATAAAATCAGGGAGCATTAAATGCTCCCTTAAATCGTGGGTTTATTCAATTAAAGTTTATTAATTTCATTTTATCTTACCTTTAATATAATATATTCCTAATAAACATTAAATTTGCTTATATAATTTTAAATTAATAACATCAATAAATAATTTTGATATAAATATTTATTATTAGATAAAAAAATAAAATTACTTCTATAAGTGTTATAAATATATATAATGATATTATACTCCAATAAGTTTTTGAATAAAATAATATTTGAGTATTATGATGAGCCAAAGTATGTAAAATTATTATTTTTTCTATATTAAAAATGAATATATATGTTAAAATATTATTTATATTAATATAAACTGTTCAGCGGGCTAATATATTGTTAAAATAAAGATTTGAATAAATGTTTTAAAATACGAAACCCCGTGCATCGCACGAGATTTTCACTAGTGTATATTTAATAAGATTTGAATTTACGTAATTATAAGTGATATAATATATAAAATAACTATAATGTTTTTTTTTTTTTGTTTTTTTTTTCACTTTGTAAGGAGGCGATTGTTTATAGTTTCAACAGTAAAAAAACCAATCAAAACTCAAATTTAACTCAACTTTAACTCAACTCTACTATCTCTCATATTATCAATATAATTAAATAATATTAACCAATCATTTTTATACATCACATCAACTTTATTTCACTATTCATCCACCCACATAATTTTAACTAACCATCACTTCCAATCATTTTTCTCCTACTTTAAATCAAATCAACTTTAATTATTTTATTTAAATATTATTTTAATACATTCACTAACAACTAACCATACCACTTTTTTCAAATGTAACTATAGTTAAAAAACAAATCAAATAAAAACTAGTTGAATTCATAAGAGCATGCTTGGATACAAATTCAATCCAAAAAATTCCATATCAACTTTTTTCAAATTTAACCAAACTAAACCAAAAATCCAATCAAAACAAAACAAATTTATATCAGATACACTCTAAATGTTGAGTTTGTGCCGCTCAGTCTTGGAGTCTGCGTCCGCCCTTTGATTTGTTTTGTCCAACTCCCATCTATATCTCTCTGAGTGGTTTATTTATTTAAAAAAAAAAAAAA